GTCCAAAGTCACAGTGACCGGCAGGCTGGCACTGGGCCTGGCCCATCGTCAGGGGAGTCGATCCAAACCTGTGCAAACAAGTGCTTGTAAATCCAACTCCAAAAACGGAGAAGAAAGAGAGAAAAAACTGGTTTGAAGCTCCTGCCACTTCCTGGGGTGTAAATACTCGCACCTCATCGATTTCAGGAGGATTCTCTGACAATCCTCCTCAGAGAAGCTGGGCTTGGTGAGCTTTTGGGGGAAGGCACACCCCGGAGAAGAAAGGCCAGTCCCCAGACCTGATTTTAGAGACGGGCCATGAATCATCATCCCAGGGACTGCACAGTGCCGCCTCCAGCCTTAGCCTGCTTCAGCCTAGGGAAGAGTCAGGCTCTTATCAACCACAGTGACTCCCTGCACCCAGAGCCTCTCCGAGAGATCTCCAGTCCAAGGACCCCAACGGGGTCTCTGGCTGCCCTGTCCACCACGAGAGCCCCTTCTTCCCTTCATTGCCTGCTCCCACTACTGAAGGCCTCACTTACCGTCACTGATCAGTTCTGAGACTGGAAGCAACAAACAAGTGTTAGTTCCGACAGCGTCCCATCAATGTCACAACAAAACGACCTTGAACGAGATGACGTTATTCCAGGACCTGCTGTGCAAGTTGGTCCTTCAGCAGCCCCGAGCCCCCGGCTCTAAACCAACAAATACCACCTTCAAATCTAGTCCTGTACGTTGGCTCCCAAGTAGTACGGAAACCAAATAATAATTATAATTAATAATATATTTATATTTTTTTTCCTCACCCGAGGACATTTTTCCATTTGTTGTACAGATAGAGTGGGAGGGAGAGAGAGGAAGAGAGAGAGAGGGAAACATCGATGTGAAAGGGACACATCGAGTGGCTGCCACCCGCACGACCAACCAGGGCCGGGGACAAACTGCAACCGAGGTACATGCCCTTAGCGGGAACCGAACCCGGGTCTCTCCGGACCACAGGCCGATGCTCTAACCGCTGAGCCAAACGGGCCAGGGTAATAATTATATTAATAAACAAGGGCGGGCAAAAGTCAGTTTACAGTTGTGAGTTGCAAAACACAGCTCATGCTTGTATATTATTTATTAATTATTGTATTATTTATTAGTATTCACCTACCTTTGCCCACCCCTGTATGCTTTGTCATATTATGTAATATATGATGAATCCTGCAAACTTACCTAGAATATAGCTAAGTGCGCAGCAGTTTCATCTTTGAATCAAGTGAAATTTTTCTGAATGAATGCATTGAATAAAATGAATTCCCATCTGTGTTCGAAGGTATGTTTCCCACCAGAAGAAGGCTTCTGGCTGCCCGGAGGGGCCCTGGTGTCTCTGGTCACATCCACGTCACCAGCCCCCTCACCGCCTGATGACGTCGGCAGAGACGTCTTATCTTGAGCTGGCCGCTTCCGTTCCTTGCCCTGCCCTCAGTCTCTGGGGACGCATGTCTGCGGCCTGGGGGTGGAGGCTGTCCGTCTGGATGTCCGCTCCTGCCCTGAGTCACTGAGAAATCCGTCTGCCTGTCTTCTAAGTGTGCGATGACTCAGGTTTTGCAGGGGCAGAGCTGGGTTTGTGGAGTTGCGTTGTCAAGGGATGATGAAACCAAGATCCCGGGTTAAAAGGTTTTATTAGAACTGCTGATAGGTCCCAACCGTCAATGCTGACCAAGTAGAATACCCAAGGACTTAGTGTTATGTCAGAAATAGCCAAGTCCCTCAGCCCGAGACGGGGAGGAGTGACCTTCCAAAAATCTATCTGATGACCCACGTATGGAACAAGGGCTGTGGGCAAAGATGCGCCCTGTGCCCTGGCCGGTGTTCTCAGTGGTTAGAGCACCGACCTGTGCACCACAGCGTCGGGGACGCAATTCCCCATCAAGGGCACGTACGTACCTGGGTTGCAGGTTTGAACCCTGTCTCTCTCACATTGAGGTTTCTCTCTCTCCCTACCTTCCATTCTCTCTAAGGATCAATGGAAAAAATATCCTCGGGTGAGGGTTAACTAAAAAATAAATATGATTTCAAAGGAGCAAGGAAGGTTTTTTAAAGGTGGTGGGAGATGGCAAGTGGTATGCACACATCCCATCAAACTATAAACGTGTTACGGACACGGCGTCTGCCCGAGCGGGAGCAGCTCGTCCCAACGGACGAAGGGAAAAGGGCCATTCGCCTTTAGGACGTGCTCACTCGAGCCTGAGTTTTCAGTTTATTTCTAGCTTTCGGGAGGCACGTGAGCACGGGAGTGACCTTCCCCTTCAGTTATGTGATAGGAAGCAAGCATTTGCCTAAAGGAGCGCAGCGGATTGGAAGGTGACTTGGAGGTTCGGCGACCAGGGTTTGCTTTGCTCCCCTGGGAAGGTGTGACGGGCTGTGGTTTGACCGGGGGTGATGAGAGGTGGCCGATGAGGAAGAGGAAAAGCAGGTGGCAGCCAGAGGCATCACCCACCGGCTGAATGGCGAGGGACAGCAGGGTGAAGGGAAATCCATCGAGGCCACACCAGCCTCCGCTGGTCGGTCCCAGGGCTGGCCCGTCTGCACCATCAAACGAGCGGACCAATCTCCTCTCTTGTTTTCTCATTAGAGCTCAGCCGGGGCTCGGTGACAACTCTTACCATGGCAGAGAAATGCCACTGGAATGTCTTAACAGGACAGCAGTAAGACACGGAGACCCTCATAAGTGCGGCAGAACCGATGGTAAATGAAACGTTATTAAAGTACCTGATGATGGGCCCTTCCCTGGTGTAACTGCACGGGTGACAAGCCAGTCCCTAGCCGGGTGGCCCTACTGCTTCTGGAGGAAGGTTTTCTTTTTTTTTTTTTTTTTAAAACATGTTTTCATTGATTTTTTAGAGAGGAAGGGAGAGAGAGAGAGAGAAACATTGATGTGAGAGCAAAACATCCATCGGCTGCCTCCTGCGCGCCCCCTACTGGGGGTCGGGTCCACAGCCCCGGCCTGTGCCCTGACCGGGACTGGAACAGGGACCTCTCAGTCCATGGGCCGACGCTCACCCACTGAGCCACGCCGGCTGGGCGTGTGGAAGGTTTTCATACCTGTCCCCCCCCTACACACACACACACACACACACACACACACACACACACACACAATCCCTGCGAGAAACCAAAGCAAGGCCTGAGCCATAGCGACCCCGACCCAAGCAGCTCTGTCTCTCTCTCGGGAGCCTCACGAGAGGAGTCGCTGTAATTGGATCCGCCCACTGTGACTTGCATGTTCACTGCGTCTACCACAAGCTGGACCAAGCAGATTGGGTGGCACGGCCTCGTCCCAAGCGGAACAGGAGGGGACATCCTGCGAGGACGGGGCAGTGGGCCGTGCAGGCCGGTGCAGAGCCCCCGCCGGCCCCGGCTCCTAAGCGCCTTTGCAGCCGAGATTACAGCAGTTCAGACGCAGCCACGCGCCTAATCCTCAGGGCAGACACCAGTGCAGGCGCAGGGGGGCTGGCCCGGCTTCCCCGGCGACAGGAAAGCACAGGGGAGACCCTGAAGTCTGGGCCGGGGCAGAGTCCGCAGCAGCCAGACGTCCAGTCCCACAGGTGCGCCACCTCCGGGCAGACAGGCCGTGAAGGGCAAGAGGCCCCACACTGGACGTGCCCCTGAAAACCCACCCTGACTAAGGCGTGAGTGGCAGAGGGTGGCTGCCGGCCAGACAGCACGGCCCAGGAGGATGTGGTCAGAGGGCTGAGCAGGAAGTCTGTCTGCGGAGACCGAGAACGTCACTGGCTGCCTGGCAGGGCTGGGGGCGGGACCAGCGGCAGGGCCACCAGCTGCATGTCCTTCCTGTGGTCAGCACTCAGTGACCGGAGCCCACCCCTCGCCCCCACAGCCAGGATTGCCACGTGGCCTGCACTTTGGGGCCATGGCCCTGTCTCCAAGCGTGGAGTCCTGGAGTCCTATGGTCCCCACGCGTGATGTCTCACGCTGGTCCAGGGACCGCGCTGGCCAAGTGACCCCACTGTCTGGAAGGGTGAGGATCAATGTCTACCCCTGGAGACAACACCCCCTCCTCCCACTCGGGGCAGGGCTCCCTCACACAACCACAGTGCCTGGAAGCCCAGCCAGCCCTACCCTGCCCTCCAAAAACATGTCCACGTGCCCAGCCGGTGTGGCTCAGTGGTTGAGCGTCAACCCTGCACCAAGAGGTCGCCGGTTCGATTCCCGGTCAGGGCACATGCCCAGGTTGTGGGCCCGATCCCCAGTGGGGGGCATGCAGGAGGCGGCCAGTCGATGTTCTCTCTCATCTATGTCTCTCTCTCTTTCTCTCTCTCCCTCTCTAAAAATAAATAAATAAATATATAATTTTAAAAAATATACACACTGTACTCTTCCTTACTGAGGAGTAGAAATGTCTGCTTTTTCTCCCGAAGGAAAAACTAAACACTGCCACAAAGTAAATGGCAATTATGCTGAGTGGCGGTAATTCCTCCTGTGAGCACAATGTGGCCACACTGGGTCTTCGCTGTCATCACACGGTCCAGGCTTGTCGTGGGCGTCAACTTCGCGTCCACAAGGCTTGCTGCCTGGGCGTCAACAAGCGGGATTTTTTTTTTTTTTTTTTTTTTGATGCTTGGATGATGCAGCGATTATACACGATGGATCCTAGAGCTGGATCTACCCCCAAACCCTGTGAGTGTTTGTGACCCAGTATCACAAAGAGGCCCAGGAGGTGCAATTGTAGCAGGGAGCCGGGGGGCGCTTGGACCTGGTTTGAAGACCCTCGATCTAGGGGATGCAAACCCGCCGAAGGGACAAACAGGGAGGTTATTCCGGGGAAACCCGGAGGAAGAGGCCCCGGAAAGTCAGTTCCGGTTCACGCCCACACTCAGTCCACACAAACACGCCCCTCGAACCGCCGGGAAAACCTTCTCAGCCTGTGCTTCAGTCTGTCCCTCTCCAAACGTAACACAGTTCTTCCGCTAGAACAGGGGCAATGAGACACGGTTCTGAAAAGCCCAATAGAAAAATACTGTTCACTGTTTTATTTTTCCAAATGAGCGACAGGCTATTTACAAATAAGCAGATCTCCAATGACGGACACGGAAATGGCCAATCTAGGACTGTCCAAGGTCTCCATGAAAACAAAAAATTTATTAAGGCACGTTTGATCCGTGAGTTTGAAACAAACTTTCTGGTGTAAGGACCGATTCATTTCACTTGAGTTCCTAAAACATGTGAGCACCAAAACTGTCAAAGAACACTTGATATTTAGTAAAACAGTAAGGAATGTAGAAAGGGGGGGGGGATGTTTTCCAAGGGAAATCTTTGGAGATCAGTTTACTGCAAATAGAACCCACTCAACACCCCGATACACACAGATACGAATGCCTACCGGGTAGGTGAGGAATGGCAGAGATCTAAACAGAGAATATCAAATAAATTAAAGGTATTTCAGATACAAAGGCTAAAACAAAATGGCAAGTAAAGAATGAAACGGCCGTCTCCACCGATGGAACACAGACAGGATGAAATGCACCAAAGCAAATACATTTTCCCCAACACTTTCTCCGGGGTGGGTTCTGGGTTCAGCTCGCGTCCATTTGATTCACGATCGGGATTCTTCTCTGCCATCCTAAAGATGAACATTTTATCCTTTGAGGAGAAGGGTCAGGAAGAGAGAAAATACCAAATCCTCTTGGAACTGAATGCCGGGTCCATTCGGGCCACACGAACAGCGGGCAGCCACGCCATCTCAGGGTGTCTTCCTCGCGCCCGGCGTGACCACAGTGAGCACGACCACGCCGTGGGGCGCGCTCCCGAAGACGTCGCTGCCACGTCATCACGTTTCCTTATTTTACAACTCCAACACCCAATGGCTTTCAAATAATCGTGGTGAAAAAGACAAACGGTAGACACGGTGAAATGTTAACAGTCGCGACAAAACGCTTACCAGTCACAGTGCTGCGTTACAATAACACTTGCGGGGACTCGTGTGTTCTGCCCTAGACGGTGGCAAAGGGGTCTGGAAAAGAAACGTTAACGACGACGACGACAACAACAACGACAACGACAACGACAGGTTTCGTTCATCATACTTCAAGTCGTGGTTAAGCAGATCCGCTACACAACGTCCCGCCAGGAAAGGGGTTCAGAGGCCGACATGATCACATTTCTGTTCAGAAAGCTCGACTGTCAAGGAGTCCTCGGTAAGAAAGTCACGTGTAAAATATATCCTTGTGGGGACTTCAAAAACTGAGCGTACAAAACATTTCTGAAAAATAAATTAGAGAATTAAAAACGTCGCTCAGCAGAGCTGGGCGTCAGGCCGTCCTCACGGAGCCGTTGGTGCTGCTGCTGCTGCTCCTCCGGTGACCCGGGTCGTTCTTCTCCAGCCAGAGCTCGGCCAGCTGCTGCGTGGACCCGTAGGTCGAGGCTTTGGACCCCAAGCACATTTTGTACTGCTTGGGGTCGAGATTGGGGTCGCAGAAGACGGGGTGATGGACGTGGACGACGCCCACCTCTTGGCTCCGGAACGTCTTCAGACCGGCCTGCACGACCTTGTTGAAGAGATCCACGTCCTCCAGCCCCCAGCCCTGGATGGACACATCGAAGCCGCCCACTCGGACCAGGTCGCCCTTATAAATACACGTGATGCCGAACCCATAGTTTCTCCAGAAGCCCGTTTTCTGGGTGAAGGCAAAATGGTTGTCACTGGGAACTTTCCCGCTGTACACAATCTTTGGGTCGTACTGGCTGAAGATGATGGGGAAGTAGATCTGCTGGCCCGGCACCGTGTTCGCGCGGCACCGCTGCAGGAACTCGGCCGTGAACACGAGGTCCACGTCGCAGAAGAAGAGCAGCGACTCGTTACTGAACTGGGAGGAGCCCACCTCGAGGGCCAGCGCCCTGGAGAAGTCCCCGGACACGGGCAGGACCTGCATGTCGGCCTTCGGGTAGCGGGCGCGGTAGTCCCTCAGGAGCTCCACCTGCTTGGCCTTGTCGGGGTTGGAGTCGGAGCTGAACAGCAGCACGAGCAGCTTGACGTTCTGGTTCGGGATGAGGCACGTCTTCTCGAAGTTCCCCATGAACCTCACGAACATGTCGAAACGCCCCGACAAGGGGATCAAGATGTTGATCTTCGTCTCTTTGGGTTCTTTGTGCTCGCTCTTCGACCCGGGGAGCTGGAAGGGGACCAGCTTCTTCAGGGAGTTGGAGAGGAAGGACAGGGACCCGGACTCCTGGTCGATCTTGCTGGCCAGCTCCTTGGCGTCCAGCTGCCTGTGCTCCACGAACTGGGTCTTGCTGAAGGTCTGCTGCAGGTAGGCGTGCCTGCGCACGGGCACCGTCACCTTCTTGCCCTTGTGCTTCTTGTAGAGCAGCAGCAGGTCCAGGATGTACTCGGCCCCGTACATGGGGTTCACCCGGCGGTAGCCGTACTGGATCTCCTTGAAGTCGATGACGCGCCCTCTGGTCTTGGCGTTGGCGTTGATCATCTCCATGACCTGCATGACAATGTCGTCCAGGGCCTCCCTCTGCGCCGAGTCCATGCCCCTCCGCGGGGGCTGGCCGTCGGCCGCCGAGTACAGGTACTTGCCCGTCAGAAACTCCCACTCCAGGATCTCCTCCCGCTGGTGGGGCTGGAACCGCACGAAGGAGGGCGGGACGCCCAGCTGCAGGTCCTCCTTGTGCACCTCGGCGTTGCTGTACCGGCTCATGAGCACGATCTCGCGGTGCAGCTGGATGGTGCGGTGCCGGAGCTCGGCGATCTTGCGGCTGAGCACGTAGCTGTGCAGCCTGTACTGGTAAGGAGGGTTTTTGTTGGGGTGCAGCGTGATGGCTCGGTGAATCTTACTATTATGGAGATCGCGGATGTACCCCTTTTTGTTCTGCTCGTAATTCTCATAAAAAAGCTGCTGCATCTATTAAGAGAGAAAAGACGCTGTTTTTAGTACTGGGTGACTGAGTGCCCCTCGATTTTTCTAGTTCCTGCACACTTCACAGAACCATCTAAATATCAGAGTCTCTCTGTATGTGCCACACAACCAAAGACCCCAGGGAAAGAAAGGCCCATCGACACAGTCCCGAGATCAGGAGAACACTGTGAACTGCGGTGGAAGGAAACCAGCCACCCCCAGCGATCAGAAATGGCGAGTGTCATTCTGCAGGCAGAGGGATAAAAACGCTTTCCCAGGAAGAAAGAGTATAACCCTGCAGCCCAAAGAATCCGCTGCAGCTCGAGCTTGGAAGACCCTGGGAACGCCTGTGGGCGGGAGAGGGTCTGTGCCCAGCGCCGGCCCCCCACAGTGTCGCCCGCGCAGGCTGAGCGTCAGGGAGGGCAGGCAATGCAGGGGCTGCACCTCCCCCCGACGCCCCCTCTGTCCTAGGAAGTGGGTTTGGGGGGAACAAAAGTTTGAGGTCCATCAGGCAAAAGGGTCTGCTCCCTCAAGTCCGAGAACAGACTCGATCCCGGGGACATTCAAGCAATGAGATGATGGCTGTCTAAGAACACCGACGGAGCCTTGTGGAATGAAGAACAGAAAATTGCAAACTTTGCAAACATTTTGAGATTGGCGCCTGATAAGTTAGTCCTGTTTCATTTATTGTTCATTCTTTGTCTTGCTAAATACTAACCCTTGAGGAGGTTGAGAGGGACTTGGATCGAGTTTATTTGCCTTTGGACTCATACTTTTTAAAAAAGTTTCTGAGCCCTGGCTGGTTTGGCTCAGTGGTTAGAGCGTCGGTCCTCGGACCAAAGAGTCGTGGGTTCAATTCCCCAGCCCTGGTTGGGGTCACGTGGGAGGCAACCAATCGATGTGTCTCTCTCGCATTGATGTTTCTCTCTTTCCCTCACTCTCTCCTTCCCTCCCTCCCACTCGATCTGAAGATAAATGGAAAAATATCCTTGTGTGAGGATTAAAAAAAAGTTTCTGTGTAGGTAGATGCAAACGTAAGCACTCACATGGGCTTCTTCTCAACTCATGTCTTAAAAAAAAAAAAGTTTTGAGCCACTGCAAACAACATAACAAAAAATATACAGATTAGCACTTTTACATCCCATTTTCTTTTTCTGTACACTACAAGCTGCCAATACGTAAAGCTAGTAAGCGTATAAAGAAAAGAAAGAACTTCCAAAGAACGCCTTCAACCAGAAAGAGCGGAGCGTGCCGGCCGCGCTCCGAACAAGGGCTCATGGGGTCACTGCTCACTGAATCCCGGGTGGCTTCCAGATGGCCAGCGCTGGCCTGTGACACCAGGCCGCCCTCCTCCCAGCACTGGTGCGGCCTGGCTCACGGCTCTGCGCCCCCACCTCTGCTGTGAGTTGGGTTTAGAGAGGGCCCGTCTGTGAACCGGGGCGCAGGCCCTCACCAAACAGGAGTGTGCCGACACCCTGACCTCGGGAAGGACGCAAACATCCACCACCGTCATCCCCGGAGTCCAGCTGGTGCCGGACACAGCCCGGGGTGCTCCGCCGCAGCGGACGAGCGCGTGATGCGTGGTCGGGTCTCTCAGCGTGGCCGGGTCGGGAAACTGCTGGATGACCTCGCTACAGCAGGGCGCGGTGAGGGCTGACACGACGCCACATCCGTGGGAACTAACGCGGCCCGGCCGGGCTCCTCCGACCAGGCCTGTTTCAGTGTGAACACGGGCAGCATGGTTGAGGGAAAAGACACCCTCCAGACATAGCAGGTGCTGTGTTTACTCTCTGCGGGACCAAATCCACAACTGACGTTTTACTCCTGGCCCTCGACCCGCCGCAGGGACAGAGCCCTGACTGACGTCACCGCGCCGGATCCGCGTCCCCACACAGCCTCAGGATGCGTTTCTGAGAGGCAGCAGAGGCTGCCGGAGGCCACGGCCCTCGCAGGGACGGAAGTCTAGGAGGGGTCGCCTGAGGCGCAGAGTGTGGGCGCCAAGGACACGGGTGAGTGAAAGTGACCGAGGACAGGCTTGCGGAGGGAGGCCTCGGCCGCCTGGGACACAGCAGGAGGTGCAGCCGCGGTGCAATCCTTGGTCCTCACGGGCACCCCGCTCAGCGCCGAGGTCTGGCTGAAAGGAGTTTGTGTTACGTTCTCCTTTCTCATTTTTAATGAAGAAATCTATTGCAAGCAAAGTGTGTGTGTGTGTGTGTGTGTGTGTGTGTGTGAGAGAGAGAGAGAGAGAGAGAGAGAGAGTGAGTTTGGGGGAGGGAGCAGTTCTTTGATTAAAAATAAGGTCAAGTCTATGCCCTGACTAGCTGGTGCCCCACACCCTGTGTCCCCCGCAGGGCTGACTTCGTACAACCTAAAGCCAGGACACACAGGGTTCAGCAAGGGAGCCACCGCCGGACAGGCTGGGGGGTACACACTGCTGTGACCTTAAGAAAAGGCTAAGCAAACTTTTATTGTTTTTATTGATGTTTTTTTAGAGAGAGAGGAAGGGAGATAGAGATAGAAACATTGATCAGCTGCCTCTTGCACGCCCCCTACTGGGGATCCAGCCTGCAACCCAGGCATGTGTCCTGACCGGGAACTGAACCGGGCGGGGCCTCTCAGTTTATGGGACCACGCTCAATCCACTGGGCAACACTGGCCAGGCTGAGCAAAAACAATTTTTATTTTTTTATCCTCACCTGAGGACTTTTTTTCCATTTTTGTTCAGATAGAGTGGGAGGGAGAGAGAAGATGAGAGAGAGAGAGAGAGAGAGAGAGAGAGAGAGAGAAACATCGACGTAAAAGGGACACATCAAGTGGCTGCCTCCCGCATGACCCCAACCAGGGCCGGGGACGAACCACAACTGAGGTATGTGCCCTTGGCCAGAATAAAACCTGCGACTTATTGGTCTGCGAGCCGATGCTCTAACCACTGAGCAAAACTGGCCGGGGCAAAACAAAACAAAACAATGTTTAACTTTTGTTAAATTTACTGTGGTAACTGGTTAAAAACAGTACGTATATTTCAGGAGCGCAGGTATACAGGATGACATCTGTATATTCTGTACTTAACTGCAGCCCCATCTCCTTCCATTACGTGTATCTGACCCCTTACTCGCTCCGTCCCCTCCCCCCCTCTGGTGGACACATTCTTTTGTCTGTATCTATAAGTTTGTTGGTTTGTTTATGTTGTTTTTCGTTTTATACCCCACATAGGAGTGAAACCACATGGTTCTCCTTTTCTGCCTTACTTCACTCAGCATGATACTCTCAAGACCCATCCATGTTGTCCCAAATGGCAGTAGTTCATCCTTTTTCATGGCTGAGTAGTATTCCCCTGTGTATATGAGCCACACTGTCTCTATCCACTCACCCATTGAAGAGCACCTGGGTTATTTCCATTGTGAATGATGCCACAATAAATGTAGGAGTGCACATATCTTGACAAATAAGTATTTTCAAAATTTTTTTTGGTAGATACCCAGTAGAATTGCCGGATCACATAGCAGTTTCATTCTTAATTTTCTGAGGGGCCTCCAGACTGTTTCCACAGGAGCGACACCACCACAGAATCCCACCCACCGTGCACGAGGGTTCCCACATCCTCTCCCACTTCTGTCATCAAAGCAAAGACGTCAACGATTTCACGAGGCCAAGTTAGGGAAGAATGCTGGAGAAATCATCTGCGACTCGTGACAGAGGCGGGAGGGACCGATGGAGCAGCGACAGCTGGGTGCCTGGCCCCTGGTCTCCCCATGCCACCGCCTGCACCTCAAGGGCAGCCCCGGCTGTGGGTGGTGAGTGACCCCCAGCCTGTCCTCTGCCCCCTGTGCTTTCGTCCGAGTTGGGCACCCTTCCCCTCTGCTCAGGGTATGTGAGCACTTTCCATTCACTTCGGCCTTGGCGGCACCTCGGGCATTTGCATTTGATTTTGGGTTAATCTGCAAAATTCTCCTCAAATCATCTCTCTTGATTTTGTTTTATTTTATTTATTTTATCTTTATTATTGGAAGTACTACAGAGATCCCCCCTTATTTCTTGGTTTGTTTTTAGCTTGATGAGTTTCTAGTTTTCTCTGTTACTTGGATTTTTCCTACCATCTGTGTTTCTTTAAAGATGTTGGTTGAGCCCTGGTCTGTATGGCTCAGCGGTTGGAGCGTCGGCCTGCGGCCAGAGTGTCCCGGGTTCGGCTTCTGCTAGGGGCACGTACAAAAATAAATAAATAAATAAATAAAAATAAAATAAAATAAAGATGTTGGTTGAGTCCGGCCAGTGTGGCTCAGTGCCCAGGCACCAAGAGGTTGCTGGTTCGATTCCTGGTCAGGACACATGCCCAGCTTGTAGGTCCGATCCCCGGTGGGGGGCGTGCAGGAGGCGGCCAATCGATGTTCTCTCTCACCCATGTTTCTGTCTCTTTCTCCCTCTCCCTTTCTCTCAAAAAATCAATAAAGAAAAAAAAAGTTTTTAAGCAAAGAGATGCTGGCTGACCGAGGAGGTATGCTGAGGGTGGGAGGAGACTGAGCCAATCCTCTGAACACCTCCACCTTCTACCTCTCCTCCCGCCCCTCAGGTCACAGCAGAACTGCTGCCAACCCGCCGCTCCCATTAGCAGGTGAGATTTAACTCCGGCTCCAGCCAAGCTCCTGGAGTGCACAGGAGCGAAGATCCCCATTCTTAACTGGGGTGTAAGCATATGACTAACAGTAAGTATTTAGCAATTTCCCCGGTTATAAAAATGAAACTATTATTCCTCTGGAAGAAAGTTAGAATGTAACAATTACAAAATAAAGGTTAAGAAATAAGACTAGATAGAGACATTTACTGCTTTTATGTGGATGATGAGCCTCAAGACCTTGGACAGGTCATTTGGAACCTGTTGGGGCTCATGTGAGACTAGCGGTTCCTTCGAGGTAAAGGATTCTTGGATCACCTTGGCCAGCGTGCTCAGTGGTTAGCGCATCGGCTGGATTCCCAGTCAAGGGCACGTACATGGGTTGCAGGTTCGATCC